AAAAAAGTAAGTCAAAATTCGAGAAAAACACTGTTTTTTACTGTAAATATATATATATATATATATTAACTGTAGCTCAAATTAATGTAAAATACCATCATTTTACAAGCATATAAATACCCTAAAATGTATTGTTCTTTTAACATTATAGATTTCACTAATATGTACATTTACAGTTTAAAAACGTTTGATATTAAGCAAAAACATGCCTCAATTTCTACACAAACAAGATGTTAAAAACATTGTATATGTTTGTTAAAGCTAGTAATATCAAGGTAAAATATCTTTAAATATAGCTTCATGTAGGCTAATGCGCTTGTACATATGTATTTTAAATGACATTTAATGTGCTATACGCAAGGAAAACATGTTGTATATTGTATATGTGAGTCTCTATAATGGACATCTCTCCTGACAAGGTCACACACTGCCTGACTGTCCACATGACTATAATGAGAAAAATATACAAAGGCCGCTGAGTGACAGAGTGATGCTACTCTCAACCTAAGTGATTTTTCCAGGAAAGATTAGAGCAGCAAGGGGACAATATGAAGGGAACAGAGACTCAGTTAGACTACAAAAGGATGGAAGTCAATAACAGCACACATCCATAAAGACAGGAGCGAAACTCCTTAGGATATGTAGGTGTATAGCTGAACATCTGTGTGTATATATTACAAAGATGGTAAGAGGTATTGATTCCATGTTTGCTTTATTGTATGCCATGCCTCTCTGTTAACCTCTACTTCACATTCTGATCCTTATTTCCAGAGAGGAGCCAACATGTTCACTTTGTTCTGTTCTAGACATCAACCAAAAAAGAACTATTTTGCATCAAAATATTGTCATGCAACCATCCATTTAAAAAACTAGACATATTAATAATAAAAATAATAATTCATTCTATTTCGAGGCGCCTTTTAAAGCACCCAAGGACACCTGAGATTAAGGAGGACATATAATGCTAATTTTCAGGTTAATGTTTGTATTTTCTGCCTCTACTGTGACATGTTTTGTTGTTCAAGAGGTCGGGATCTTAGCCTTTGCAGACTTTACAAACATAAGATAGTACAAGAAAGGAAAACTCCAAAAAGTATAATAGTAGTTCTTCCTCCTCTGCTTTAACACAACGCATCCATCCCTCTTGAAAAGCACGAGCTGTAGATTCCCTCCCTCCCCTCCTCCAAAGGCACCTGCCAATAAGCATGACCAAACAAGCGGTGGCAGAATAAAGCCATGCAGTAATTGGACAAGACTAATTGCAATAGTGAAGTCTCAGAGTGTCTGATTGCGCTGGGGAAGGACAGCAGTCACAGGACGGCTGCCTTTGTTTGTGCAGCCCAACATTGTTTGACTTGTCACTTTGTAATTAGGATTGCACAGATCAAACTTTGTACGGATGTCTGGGACTCAGACTTGATCTGCATAATGCTTCTTTGTGTCGTGGGATGTCAACTTGGATATCTTTTCAGCTTGTGTTACCCACAGACCGTATTTCATGCTGATAACTTTGATTTTTGATTTGATTAGATTTGTGTAAAATAACAATACAAAAATGTAACATGAGAATTATTATACAATACAAAATTAAGCAGTGTCAAATTGATATACAAAAATATTACTGATTCTAAATTATATATAAACAAATAATCTACTTAAAGGTGGGGTAGGTCATTTTGGAAAAACCAGCTCGAATGCACTAGAATTTGAAAATACACAGCCGGAAAAAATCTGCCACTTCCTCACAGAGCCCCTCCTCCAACACACACGAACGCGCACATGACCAATGAGGACACGAGATAAGTTTGTGCACAGATGGAAGGCTGACAGGCAGGTAGGCCATCCAGTTATTTTAGCCGGGCCGGCTCAGATGATTGGTCGTGCTTTTTACAGTACCACGGCTTCCACAGATGATATTTCTTTATGGATTTTTTGTCAAAGCACTTCAGATATTCATTGTTATCGGGATGTTAAGAGCATTCCATGGAATATAACAACAAGTGTATCTCGAGCCGGTTTCTCAAACTTACCTTTAATTACAAATCCGAAAAGGGGTGGGAAGAAGTTTACACTTATTTAATCCCACACCTTCTCCCAAAAACGAAATAACCGCAAACACGTTCAAGAAACTATTTAATTTTGAGGCAAGGGAACCGGCAGGGGTAAAATGCTAACTCATTTCCAGGTTTAAGGACTCATTCCTGCACCACTCTATCTCAAAGATCAGCCCTAGTTGTACCAGATAACAGATCAAGCTTTTGACTCAGTATCTGCCTGATATTGGATGTCATTGTTGGCGTTTCCTTGTGTGTAATCATCTCCAATAACCTTGCAATTTGCAGCAGCCAAGAACAATGAGTTCTGTAATAGCTCACAAAGAAAGTAAAGACCACGCACTCTCCACATGTGCCCAGGGTATAAGAAGTCTGCTCATGTTTGAGTACAAAAAGAATGGTGCTGAGGTGTTTCTTGGCAAAAAGCCAGGACTGTTAAGTGGAAACAGAGGGCAAATCAAAAAGCTGGGGAGAAGTCCAAGGGGAGAATTGTGAAGGGGGAAACACAGCCTGTGACCGAGCCGAGGGGCCAGAGCAAGAAGACAGTAAGTATAAGTGAAATGTGCTTCTACATGCTGCAGAAACATGCAGACCACCACCCGAGGGACTGCAAGTATTTCTGCTGCCTCGCTCCCAGACCACGATGTAAAGCCGGGAACTTTCAGGCTCTGATTGGGTCTGCTGAGCCGCGGGGATTCCTCCGTCTGGGAGCTGAGAGTCTGAATGTATGATTACAGTAAAGCCTGCGATCACTGCCCTGACGCCCAGCAGCAGAGATGGCAAAAGTACACACATCCTTCACTCAAGTAGACGTACAGATACTCGTGTTTAAAAATACTAAAGTAGAAGTACTGACTAAACTCCTTTACTCAAGTAAAAGTAAAGAGGGCTTTGAAATGTACTTCAGTAAAAAGTACCCATAACTAGCAGCTGTTTTAAAGAGTACCTGACCTCCCTTTATATTAATAGAACAATAATGTCATTGTTAGCTAATGAATGTTTCCATGCTGAACAACGGCAACATGACAACGTTTTCATTGGTCCCTCTTCTTTAGAGAAGACCAGGAAATGATGGATACACGGATCGTGTTCAAATCAATAGGCACGCAATGACTCTAAATAATAATGATCACGCCACCAAACACACATTCAAACTAAAGGAACCAGCCTGTTTGGGAAATGTGAGAAGTAGAAAGTACAGGTATTTGTGTTCAACATGTAAGAAGTAGAAAGTACAGGTATTTGGGTTCAACATGTAAGAAGTAGAAAGTACAGGTATTTGGGTTCAACATGTAAGAAGTAGAAAGTACAGGTATTTGTGTTCAACATGTTAGAAGTAGAAAGTACAGGTATTTGGGTTCAACATGTAAGAAGTAGAAAGTACAGGTATTTGTGTTCAACATGTAAGAAGTAGAAAGTACAGGTATTTGGGTTCAACATGTAAGAAGTAGAAAGTACAGGTATTTGGGTTCAACATGTAAGAAGTCAAAGTAAAAAGTGGTCCGAAAAATAAGTATTGGAGTAAAGTACTGATACCAGAAAAATGTAGCCTACTTAAGTACAGTAACGAAGTATTTGTACTCCACTACTCTGCTTGAAACACCTCGCAGGGAAAGATCTTTAGAGAAAAAGTTGGATCTTAAAGGGAAACTTTGAAGAACTTTGAATGAGACGTAAGGCCCCCGCGTGGAAATGCTATTCGTTTCTGTTCGCGGTGGCGTGCTTTGAAGTGGAAACAGCTCTGCCGTTTCGTCAGATTTTTTGTATCCTTGCAGCATGTCTTCATCTGGCTGGCAGCTGGTGAGAGTTGCCATGATTCTTTGTGACTCAATGTCTCTTCTGTTCTCTATTGTTAAAAAGGAGCCCACAAAGGACTTGCTTCCCATCCACAGGAATCGTTTAAATTACAACGCATATGGAGAGCAGTCTATCTCTCTGAATAGCCCCTCTCTCTTTAATACAGTAACTAATGGCAATTGCTTATGGCAACCACAATTTCCAGATGTAATTGGGTTCCTTGATAATGGATACCACTATCTCAATGTCTCTAAAGGCTGCAGCGCTGTCCCCCCCCACAAGGTCACACCATCCATTCTGATTGGAGGCGCGATGCTAATGTTTTCTACTTGCTTATTATTTATAATGGCATGGAGAGGTTTCAGTGGAAAATTAACCGCTGTGCTGCAGATACCTTCATTAGCAAATGAGGTGACATCTCATGCAAAACACACAACAGGGGGGATCATTTCATAAACTCTCAACCCTGGTGATTACTCACCTCTGGATATCACACTGACAATCACACATTAATGGATGTTTACAGCAAATAAAGAAGGATGTCTGACGGAGGAAAGTGCTGTTTTAGTTATTCCAGGATACACACACACACACACACACACACACACACTCTGAAATGTACAGCTCAGATATCTCTCCTCCGCACATCTGCTGTATGTTCAACAGTTGCTGGAGCTTAGCTGAACACAGCACATGGTGTGTGTAGTCCTTTTGAAGTCTGAGCAGCAGCACAGAGAAAAAGCCAAGGAATCAAAAACCAGCCCTCAAAGAGAAGAAGAAGTTACTTTTTCAAGACAACAACATGACACTACAGTATTGGCTTGTTTCTGACTGAAAACACAAGGACATCAAGACAAATGTGCACAAACATACCCAAAAGCAGGGGTATAGAATAAAGAAGCATTTCTGTTAAATCTGCAGAAGTGCAACCCCACTATGCATGTCGCTTTCTATTCGACAGGTAAGTATTTTTTGCAGGTTTTTGCAGAAGAAAGTTAAAGTGCAACACCTTGGCAGCATCACTTTAAGACTTTAAGCCTCCACGCGCGCAGCTCCGTTTGGAGATTAAACGCTAAAAGTGGACTGAAAGGTGACACCGGTGTTCTTCTACGGGGTTAACAAGCACGCTTTGTGTCTATATGTACTCACTTGGAGGAAGTGAAGCCCGGGTTGTCAGCGAAGTCCCGTTATTTCCGTGCGCAGAGGCGGCAGATCCACGGAGAAGAAGAGAGAAGCGAAACGCTGCGTGAAGGGTCCGATTTAAAGGGAGAAACAAGCTCCAAACTGGCAACCTCACATCGTTAGATTTAAAGAAAGAAAAACACCGGGAGGAGGTTGTTACTCCCCTCCTGGAACATGCACATCCAGCGCGTTTTTCTGCAGGAGGAGGAGGAGGAGGGAGAGGAGGAGGAGGAGGAGGAGGGAGAGGATGGGAACACCGATGCTCGCTCCCAGGCAATGAGAGGCATTTTAATTTCTGACTGCTGACCATGAGGGGCTCTACGCTGCTGCTACGCCCCTCAGCATCCTCACACACACACACACACACACACACACACACACACACACACACACACACACACACACACACACACACACACACACACACACACACACACACACACACACACACACACACACACACACACACACACACATCAGGGTTTTGTGTTGCCATGCATGACCAGGTCCTGCTGTTATAGCTGCAGGAATAAACAATAAGCTCCTATATGCCTCTATTTATGGGGCATGTGGGTATCTCTCTCTCTTTCTTTTTTTTACTGGATGTGCAATGGTCTCATGGAGAGACACTGCATGCAAACATTTTTAATGCACTGGATAACCTTTTGAGTTTGGATTATACATTTGAGTGGAAAGCAAACTTAAAAGTGCTAACGTGGAGATGTTAATTGGTCTGTAATGCCTCATTTGCATATTTAAATATGACATTTTTTAAGTGAGTAATCAGCTTCTGAAAGTTTGTGGTGATTTTTATTAGTTAAAGATTGTCATTGGATTCACCTGTTGTGTCTTTTTAAATGGAAATGTCCTCATTAGTAGCAATTACACACACCGTATTTTCAATCTTTGTTCCTATTTCTTATTCTAAATTCTTAACAGAAGGGTTTGATGAGTGAACATTCATATCCTGCATTATATTACCATTTATATTCCTAAAAAAAGGCAAATATTGATCTCTTCTTGGCAGTTTCAGTGTTTTATATATATTTGTGGAGTGAAATAAATGTTAAATCTGCCAAAATGTTGAACTCTAAACTCTTTCAACTAAATAACTCTAAGAATATTTTTACCTGAATTGCAGTTTCATGCTAATGTGCACATATTTGATTTTTAAAAATTGCTAATTTGCAGATGCCAAATAACAATGGTCCTAATAAAAGTAATCTGAAACCAGAGCCCAGTCGCCTCTGATTGGTTAGCTGGCCGGCTCTGTTGTAATTGTTTGTTTGTTTGTAGACTTTATTTAACCAGGTTAAAAAATCCCATTGAGATCAACGATCTCTTTTTCAAGGAAGACCTGCGGTACATTAGTTACACATATAAAAACAAACAGAAAACAAAAAGGACATCACAACATAATTACAGGGGTATACATTAGCAACCTATTCACAGTGACAGGTATCCAATAACATTTCATCCAGCCGTGCTTTAAAATGATGCAAGGGAATCAAAATGCTCAGTTTCAATATTTTTTGCATGGTGTTCCAAGCTAGAGGAGCAGCGCACATAAAAGCTTTAGTACCTAGAACAGTCCTAGCACTTGGCACATGTAATAAAAACACATCCTGGGATCTCAGGCAATAGCTACTTGCCACTCTCCGTGAGATCAAAGAGCAGATATAAGTCGGTAGTTTACCCAGCATGGCTTTATAGATGAATATGTACCAATGACTGAGCCTCCGACCAGTAAGTGAAGGCAGACCTGCCTTGGCATACAGGGTACAGTGATGAGTAAGTGCTTTACAGTTAGTAACAAATCTCAGAGCACTGTGATAGGCGGCATCTAACCTTTCCAGGCAATGGGCAGGTGCATTCATATAGATCAAAATTGGTCAACAAGCTGAGAGATGTCTCGCCCCTTAGCCTATCACGAGTTGATTGGTCTCTTGTGTAATTAGTCGGTGTTTCCCCTGTGTCTTTGTTAGCTTGTCATCGCAACCAGCGATCACTCTTTTCCCTCGAGGGTTTTCTTCTAATGTTTTGAGCTTCAGTTTTTGGATCCATTCTCTTAGAGCTAGAATCAGAGAATGTGACAAAGATGGGGGGTGGGCGTGGTTAAAAGCAATGTGAACAATGTTTTTGAGCACCTGCCAGTAGAAGCAAGTATTACATAGTGATGTCACTATGTTCCGGAAGTAAAACGATTCAGGCAGCAGGAGGAGAGTCCAGAGAAACACTGAATCAAAGGTGGAAGAACACCACCATCTGCAAATTGAACTCTTCACTCACTGGATGTAGGTCTTAAAGTGGAAAATAGATTTCTCTCCACTGTCAACCCAGCTTGCTATTGGTCCACTTGCATTAAGAGGGGAATTTAAAGAGGACATATTGTGCTGTTTTCTGAGAGAAACTCCCTCTGGAGTGGACACAGGGATTTTAGACTTTGGAGACCATTTACATGCACTAAAACGTATATAAAACACTACAGGGAAGGGAACACCCCAAAAAGGCATGATCGGGCTTTTGAACCCTAATAGTGACTAATACTCATTGATGGAATCTACTTTTCCTGAATTCGCCCTATAATATCCCGGGGTACACATTTAAAGTCCATAAAATAACTATATTTGTAGTCCTCCCTTCTTACCGGGTAATACGGCTCATGTCCAGCTGTGCTGCTCTCTGATAGGATGATGGAGGTTACCTGCAGTGAGTCTTAGATAAAGTTACTCGGCTTTAATAGCCTCAGGCCTGCAGAGACCTGTTGGTCACATTTATTCCCGTAGCTAGGTTACCTCTTATTTCTCTCCCCCCTGAGGCCCATGCCTGTTGCTCTTTGTATAGCATGTGGCTGATTTATTGAAAGTGCCAACATGTACAATACATCCTCCTTTAAAGCGTCTGTAAAATATAATTTGTGTCGGCCATTATTCGTCTAAAAAAAGCTCTCTGAATGTTTTTTCTTGGCCTGTGGAGACTGAAGTGTTGGAAACTGTTTTGTTGCCAGCGCATTGACTATAAATATATAAATGTATTATGTTTTCTTACAAAGCCTGAGTGTGTGATTGAAGTCCATTTGCCAATTTGGTAATAAAAACACGAGATATGCCGACGGTTCGTTTAAAAGAACAAACACATCTGCAGGTGAAGATGTTTTCTATCTGCACACAGGAACAAAATAGATTGACCCTGTTTTAAACAATTACCATAAGAAACAAACAGACTAAAAATACTTTAATGTGAGGTACACAACACACAACAATTAGGCAACAAATCCAGATTTCTTTATGATTCGAGTTGATTCTCCAGTGATGTGAGGTATGTTTTCCATCCAATGATCTGCTCAGAAGTCCATCCTGGCCGCACTGGTCTCAAACAATAAACATGTTTAATAATTAAAACCCAATATCTTGTTTTGAGCGTGGAACACAGAGGACAGCCAAGGGCAATTTCCACCGACTATACGAACAAACAAATGTATTATTTCCTGTTGTTATGTAGGGGGTCTCTCTTCTTCATCATCTGATGAGGTGCGAAAGATCTTTCAGTGTGGATCCTTTATTTTAAGGGATGGTCAGAAACCGTCACATGCATCAGGGTTACTTGACATTAGGCGCTTTCACACCGCGGTACTTTCCCCACAAAGGTTCATCTGTACTTAGTTCATGAGAACTCTTTAGTTCTCATGAACTAAGTACAGATCGCGTTCACACCGGAATAAGTTCCCTGGGGGAGGATTAGGAATGAAGCCGCTGACGTCACTTCTTCTTCTTCTGCTTAGGGTTTACTGGCAGGCCGCAAACAACTTCACGGCGTACACTGCCCCGGACGGGAGTCCCCGGAGTTGGGGACTGGCTTCAGTAGAAGCTGCTGGGACTCCCAGCAGCTTCTACTGAAGCCTTCCGAGTAAATCGCCAGAACGCCGACACCTGCTCATCACTCCACCACTCCCATGTTTTCTTTTGTGTTGCCATAAGTTAGTCTCTCTGCGTTTCTGCGCTGGGCTAATGCTAATGCTAATAATGCTAATGCAAGGATAATAAAATTGGCGGCTTTACAAAACTTTTTGGGAGTTTTACGGGCGTGGTTTGCAATTCGCCCAGCCAATCAGACATAGGAACCTTTTTACCCCCTTTTCCGTCCCTGCTAGAGAGCACGGACGGAAAAGGGGGTAAAAAGGTTTTCATGAACGGATTTTTTTGGTTTGAACGCAACATTTCGGAACTATATCGGAACTAAGTGGGAAAAGTACTGCGGTGTGAACGCGCCTATAGCAGTTAGATGTGACAACGAGTGTGTGACAAAGAGTGTGTGTGTCACAAAGAGTGTGTGACAAAGAGTGTGTGTGGGAAAATGTGCGACATGTTACCGCGATGATAAGAGGTCATTTAGATCTCGTTATAATGTATAAGATAACCAAACCTTAAAAATAAAACGTATCGATATAAATCACAAAGCTTTACTACAGGTTGATTTGGTTGCACACACTATGCAGGTGAGGGAAACTAACTTTAATGTAAGATAAGATGTTCTTTATTGATCCCAAATTGGGTTACAGCATCAGGTTAAAACAAGGTCTTGCACATTATATTATTTATTCCACTATTTCATCAATTTAGAGAGTTTATACATCTAAAAAACAAACAAAATTAGTAGAATTCTTGTTTCTCAAAATAGAAATGAAAACTGAACGAAAAAAGTAAAGTATATGAAAAGGATATTACATTGTTTTTGTTACTTTCGTTGCAGTTGTATGTCTTAAATGTAATTTAGGTTAACTTCCTGTTTTATTTAGATGCTTTTATTTTGAAGGCGAGCTCACGCTGTTGACAGGAAGTTGTTGTTGCTATGGAAACAACATGACGGAGTGTGTGGTTCTGGTTCCATCGTGTGGCCTTCTGTAGGCATCGTACTTGCTTCAGCTGTTGCTTGGCTGTTGACCAAGTTCGGGGCCATCTTTGTGCGAAATTCACAATTCCATATTCGTGTGTCTATCTGGTGTCGATGTCGGGACAGTGTGACAGGGGCTTTACCAAAATACAGTGCAATTATCAAACAACACAGTTTTTATTGGATATTTTTGCTTGTATGCATCAACAACTTTAAATCTAAATCTCTAAGTTTGGGAAAAAGACCGGATCTAGCAAACTACAACCATCTGGTGACCTGTATGACTGCGAGTGCTGCACAGTTTGGTAAACGTTCCTTATATCAGCTGCTGTAACCTTGTTGGTTTTCTTATCATCAT